GGAAAAACCCCCCCCCCCCCCCCCCTCATAGTTCTCCTTTTAAACTTTGCAATTCAAACTCATGGCTTAGAATGTAGCTGTGCTACACCCTGACCTTCAGGATTGCTCCAACTAGTAACTGATTTTCTAATACTCATTGGTCACATAGATGTTAAGAAAGCGATATCCACAGAGTGCTCTTGAGGTTTCTGGTCTTGCTGATGGGGAGGGCGCAGTACCTGGTTATAGCCAGCAGATGTCGCTGTTGCTGCACATGTGACATCCAGGACTCCCCGTCCATACAAAGCGGGACAGCAATGTGCTCAGTCACTGTGAATCTACTGAGCCTTCCATTCTAAGTACATAGTCAGGGCCCGGAGTCCGTCACCCGCTAATGTAACTCTGATCGTCAAAACACAAACATCACGATTGATGTGTATTGAGAACAGCTTTACCATTAGAAATAATGATGTCCTCTATGTAATGGGAGCTGGCAGAGTTCATAGACGGTCTCTAGTGCATGGATAGGCTGCATTCTCAGTGATGTCACTAGTCTCTAGTGAAGTGATAGGCTGCATTCTCAGTGATGTCACCGCTCTCTAGTGAATGGATAGGCTACATTCTCAGTGATTTCACCGGTCTCTAGTGAATGGATAGGCTGCACTCTCAGTGATGTCACCGGTCTCTAGTGAAGGGATAGGCGGCATTCTCAGTGATGTCACCGGTCTCTAGTGAATGGATAGGCTGCACTCTCAGTGATGTCACCGGTCTCTAGTGAAGGGATAGGCGGCATTCTCAGTGATGTCACCGGTCTCTAGTGAATGGATAGGCTGCATTCTCAGTGATGTCACCGGTCTCTAGTGAAGGGATAGGCTGCATTCTCAGTGATGTCACCGGTCTCTAGTGAATGGATAGGCTGCATTCTCAGTGATGTCACCGGTCTCTAGTGAATGGATAGGCTGCATTCTCAGTGATGTCACCGGTCTCTAGTGAATGGATAGGCTGCATTCTCAGTGATGTCACCGGTCTCTAGTGAATGGATAGGCTGCATTCTCAGTGATGTCACCGGTCTCTAGTGAATGGATAGGCTGCATTCTCAGTGATGTCACCGGTCTCTAGTGAATGGATAGGCTGCATTCTCAGTGATGTCACCGGTCTCTAGTGAATGGATAGGCTGCATTCTCAGTGATGTCACCGGTCTCTAGTGAATGGATAGGCTGCATTCTCAGTGATGTCACCGGTCTCTAGTGAATGGATAGGCTGCATTCTCAGTGATGTCACCGGTCTCTAGTGAATGGATAGGCTGCATTCTCAGTGATGTCACCGGTCTCTAGTGAATGGATAGGCTGCATTCTCAGTGATGTCACCGGTCTCTAGTGAATGGATAGGCTGCATTCTCAGTGATGTCACCGGTCTCTAGTGAATGGATAGGCTGCATTCTCAGTGATGTCACCGGTCTCTAGTGAATGGATAGGCTGCATTCTCAGTGATGTCACCGGTCTCTAGTGAATGGATAGGCTGCATTCTCAGTGATGTCACCGGTCTCTAGTGAATGGATAGGCTGCATTCTCAGTGATGTCACCGGTCTCTAGTGAATGGATAGGCTGCATTCTCAGTGATGTCACCGGTCTCTAGTGAATGGATAGGCTGCATTCTCAGTGATGTCACCGGTCTCTAGTGAATGGATAGGCTGCACTCTCAGTGATGTCACCGGTCTCTAGTGAAGTGATAGGCTGCACTCTCAGTGATGTCACCGGTCTCTAGTGAAGGGATAGGCGGCATTCTCAGTGATGTCACCGGTCTCTAGTGCATGGATAGGCTACATTCTCAGTGATGTCACCGGTCTCTAGTGAAGGGATAGGCTGCACTCTCAGTGATGTCACCAGTCTCTAGTGAAGTGATAAGTTGCGCTCTCAGTGATGTCACTAGTCTCTAGTGAAGTGATAGGCGGCATTCTCAGTGATGTCACCGGTCTCTAGTGGACAGATAGGCTGCACTCTCAGTGATGTCACCGGTCTCTAGTGGACAGATAGGCTGCACTCTCAGTGATGTCACCGGTCTCTAGTGGACAGATAGGCTGCACTCTCAGTGATGTCACCGGTCTCTAGTGGACAGATAGGCTGCACTCTCAGTGATGTCACCGGTCTCTAGTGGACAGATAGGCTGCACTCTCAGTGATGTCACCGGTCTCTAGTGGACAGATAGGCTGCACTCTCAGTGATGTCACCGGTCTCTAGTGGACAGATAGGCTGCACTCTCAGTGATGTCACCGGTCTCTAGTGGACAGATAGGCTGCACTCTCAGTGATGTCACCGGTCTCTAGTGGACAGATAGGCTGCACTCTCAGTGATGTCACCGGTCTCTAGTGAATGGATAGGCTGCACTCTCAGTGATGTCACCGGTCTCTAGTGGACAGATAGGCTGCACTCTCCGTGATGTCACCGGTCTCTAGTGAAGGGAGAGGCTGCATTCTCCGTGATGTCACCGGTCTCTAGTGAAGGGATAGGCTGCATTCTCCGTGATGTCACCGGTCTCTAGTGAATGGATAGGCTGCATTCTCAGTGATGTCACCGCTCTCTAGTGAAGGGATAGCCTGCATTCTCAGTGATGTCACCGCTCTCTAGTGAATGGATAGGCTGCATTCTCGGTGCTGTCACTGGTCTCTAGTGAATGGATCCTGCATTCTCAGTGATGTCACCGCTCTCTAGTGCATGGATAGGCTGCATTCTCGGTGATGTCACCGCTCTCTAGTGCATGGATAGGCTGCATTCTCGGTGATGTCACCGCTCTCTAGTGAATGGATAGGCTGCATTCTCAGTGATGTCACCGGTCTCTAGTGATGGGATAGGCTGCATTCTCAGTGATGTCACCGGTCTCTAGTGCATGGATAGGCTGGGTTCTGTGAAACATCTCAGTAACATTGGTGGTCTCTATTGATGAAAACCTTGTACATAAGAATATAACTTACTTTGTATTCTATTTGTGTCATTGGTGCACCTGGCAGCCAATAATGAGTTCTTGTGTTTTTTTTTCTCAATACCAGATCAAAGCTGCGGAACCAAAGAGCAAGAACTGCGTTACACTGGCCGGCACAGGAGAAGCCGCTAAAGCCATCGGTCCCAGTTTTGTGCAGACGTCCTTTAATGAGCCCGGAGGTCTCTGCATTGGTGATGACAGCCATTTGTTGTATGTTGCCGACACCAATAATCACCATATAAAAGTTCTGGATCTGGAATCCAAAACAGTTTCTGTGGTAAGTAACATTCCATTTTATAAGATGCCATAGATGTTAGAGGGCAGTCAGAGGGGACGGCACGGACCTCCTATGAAGCCTGTGCATAATAGGCCTGCTGCATTGAGCTTAAGGTTCTGGCAAGGCTTTCCACAAGGTTTTGGAGGGTGTCTGTGGGAAATTGTCCCATTTGTGAAGTCAGGTACTGATGTTGGATGAGAAGACCTCAAAAAAAAGAAAAAAAGGGATTAATGTGTATTTATATCGGCCATGTTTGTCGATATACTCTGTCACCATGTCGCTCTGAAGAAGGATCCCTGCGTGGACCCGAAACGTCAGCACCTTAAGACACTATGTGACATTTTGCACTTTATTAAATATATCAATGGGATTTTTACGTTCGATTCCCTGAGTGTGTGCCGGTGGTGAAATGTTTGAATTTACCATTGATGTTTGCACGGCGCCATCCGTGCGGTCACCCTGAGCACCACAGATGCCTTTTGAACTGTAAGGAGTGCGGATGGTACTCGGATTTTGGATGAGAAGACCTGACTCGCAATCATTCTGATTCATCCCAATGGTGCTCAGTAGGTTGAGGTCAGGGCTCTGTGCAGGACACTCGAGTTCCTCCACCAAGCTGGTCACACCATGTCTGTATGGAGCTGGCTGTGTACACAGGGGACAGTCATGGGGGAACAGAAAAGGGCCTTCTAAAAATGCATCGGTTGGTATTTGTGCTCATTCGGCCAAAAGAGCACTTTTTGGGTTGGGTACAGCTCTTGGATGAGAATGCCTGGCTGGTGTTCAGTAGGGTTAAGGTCAGGGCTCTGTGCGGGACACTCGGGTTCCTCCACCAAGCTGGTCACACCATGTCTTTATGGAGCTGGTTTTGTACACAGGGGACAACAGTCATGGTGGAACAGAAAAGGGTCTTCACCAAACTGTGACCACAAGGCTGGAAGATCATAATCGTCTACAATGTCTTTGTATGATGGAGGATCACCAGAACCTTCACTGGAGCAAAGACTTTGGATTGTTTAATGGTAGCAGTTGCAATTTTTTATTGGAAGTTCACTGACCTCCCTCTGCTACCTCTACACATTTCATGCCTGTCCCAGGTCTGCAGGAGGGGCAGCCAAGCCTAGGGTACATTGTAGGAGCAGTTGGGAATGGGGGGTAGCTCCAGGCGGTGCTAAGCCCAGGATACAAGGCAGGAGCAGTTGAGTATGGGGGGGGAGGACCAGGCAGTGCCGAGCCCAGGATACATGACCGGAGCAGTTGTAAATGGGGGGTAGCACCAGGCGGCACCGAGCCCAGGATACAAGGCAGGAGCAGTTGAGTATAGGGGTAGCACCAGGCGGTGCCAAGCCCAGGATATATGGCAGGAGCAGTTGGGAATGGGGGGAGGAACAGGCAGCGCCAAGCCCAGGATACAAGGCAGGAGCAGTTGGGTGTCGGGGTAGCACCAGCAGGTGCCGAGCCCAGGATACATGGCAGGAGCAGTTAAGTTTATGGGGGTAGCACCAGGCGGTGCCGAGCCCAGGATACATGACCGGAGCAGTTGGGTGTCGGGGTAGCACCAGCAGGTGCCGAGCCCAGGATACATGGCAGGAGCAGTTAAGTTTATGGGGGTAGCACCAGGCGGTGCCAAGCCGAGGATACATGGCAGGAGTAGTTGGGCGTGGGGGGCTGCACCTTTGCCGGGGGGAGTGGAAGTGATCGGGTGGCGGTAAGCAGGCATTGGAGAGCTGACAGTCAGCTTGTAAACACGCTCCTGGCTGCCCTTGTTTCCATCCAGCACTGATAGACAAATGGTTAAATAATGACAATTATCGCCGATCAATCAATAGGCCCATAGATGTCGAAAATAAAATGTCCTGGTGCATAAGGAATGTGCAGAGGCCGCAGCTGAAGCGTCTTTTTGAAATGGAGTTTAGGGCTGGGGAGCCTCTTTAGCAGTCCCCGTGCGTCCTGCATTACCTCGCAGACACCGTCGGACGTTTTGTCCCGGTAGTCGTGTCTGACAACCGAATTATCCTTCTGCACAAGTTTTCTATTGGATTAGACGCCGGCTGTGTGTCGATAACAAGGCAAAACTTGCACAAAGAACACTTTGCTTTCTTTCGCGTTTAAAGTAGGCGTCTTTACATCAATCTGACAAGCGGCGGAGAATTTAGGGGTTACTTCTATCTGCAGGACCTGCCAATTTAATGAGATCCATCAGTCATGAGATAAAAGACCTTCCTCCCCTTCCTCCCTCCTCTCTGCAATTAGACCAGACACCCACACAGCGCATTGTACCATATGTACCTATACATCGGCTGCCGTGCGTTCCGCGCTATGCAAATACAATGTTATGAACTCACCCAGTCATATATTTATTCATTTGGCTGTCAGCAGACAATCGCTCTCTTTTGTTCCGTGCGAATCTTCGTGCGCAGAAAACTCCGTAATCTTTGCAGACTTCGAACAACTTTGAGGAAAAACTCCGTCATCTTCGCAAACTCAAAAAACAAGCTTCGAGGGCTGCGGGTTTATCGATGACATGGTGGAGCTTTGCAGAGCTTTGTTATAGGAGAGCAGCGCGGCCATTATCGTTTACTGCTTAGTAAGTAAGGCTGCATACAGGGCTGTAGCTACCATGGGGTTCGCACACACACGCACACACACACACACACACACACACAGGAAACTAAAAATGTTTTCATTAGTTTCGTCAAATGAAACAAATTTTTATGCTATTTGGTGCCGCCATCCTTGAGGCAGGGCGCATGACGCCGCGCGTGCGCGTTGGCATAGGGTGACATAACACGTCTGTTGTGGGGTCACAATTTTCTGTTCTCGCCTCGGGCGCAAAAGGAGCCAGCTACGGCTCTGGCTGCATAATGCCGAGGTATCCCTGGGGATGATAGTGGTCGGCTATATATTACATTCTGCAAACCATACATGGAAGCCCTTAAGAAGGGGGAGCCCCCCTCCCCCAAAGTGCATTGGTTTTATTTTATTCAATTAACTTTTAATATCAATTTTAAGCTTTTTGAACCAAATGATCCTAAATGTATACCCTGGCAATTGAAGGCACATAGCCCTCTTGGGAGCACATGACCCCCCTCAGGTGACTAAGCTTGGGCCTGAGCATACAGTCTATTCCCACTGTATAAGCTTCAACACTTAGAGGCCGATTTACAAATCATGCACCCAGCCGTATTCTGGGCCAATGCTGTTCACCTCTAGGTGGAGCCAAGGAGCTGGGCAGAAGATTTTTTTTAATGGCCCCCTTGGAATCTTTCTAATGACACGGCAGAGCCATCCAATGCATTGTCGTGTCATTAAACGCACTCATTTCACTTGATCGATGGTGTGCTGGTGACATTCTTGAACTTCCTCCATAGTTCACGGTGCCGTCCGTGGTCACTATAAGCACCCACCTGACTCCACAGGTAAACTACAAAACCGGTAAGGCGTGCAGCAAGATACATCTATACTGTTCTTGGAATCCATCTGTCGGACCAAATCTGTCAGTGACAGTCAGGTGTGACAGCCAGCAGGTGCGTAGTGTTGACGTGTAGCTGTCAGAGAGAAGCATACCCTCAGCACAGGGCATAGAGCCTTTGCATTACTTTTTAAAGAGTGTCCTTATCCAAAAACCTAACCTTGGCACGTATGTCAAAACAACAGGTTCACTTTAACGCCGGTCCCTATAGCTGTTTATTCTCTTGTTTCCTGTGTACCCGTCCCTCTGATCAACTGGGGAGGCGCAGTGACATACCCGATAGTTCTATGCCACTGACTCCTTTTCCTCTCTTGTGATGGTTTGGTGATTGGCTGTTGAAGCTGGGTTGTCAGGAGAGAGTCCTCGTCCCTGTGTCAGCTCTGACTAGACTTGGAGCTTATATGCGGCTTCCTTTGGCTCCTGCAGGTGAACAGGACAGTGTCGTAGTATAGGGAAGGTATTTATAAGCAGATGCATGGCAGCAGTGGCGTAACAATGGCCATAGCGACCAAGGCGGCCGCTATGGGGCCCGGGTACAGGGGGGCCCGGCCTGGGTCGCTATGCCATGTGGGGGTGCTGGCTGTCACAGACACAGCTCAGCAGCGGCCACGGCGCATTTCCCCTCATAGCCGCTGCCGAGCTGTGTCAGTGTCAGCCAGCCGCTGCGGCAGATGAGGGCGGTGTTCGGAATGGAGGAGGCGGGGCCCGCTTCCTCTTACATCACTGGCCAGCGACCTAGGAGCAGGTGGGGCCAGTGATGTAAGAGAAGGGGGCCCGTTGATAGCAGAGGAGTCGGGGCCAGGGGACGGAACAGGAGTCGGGGCCCGGCGACCACAGAGGTGCTGACAGCTAAGAGATCTCAGACCCTGCAGAGCCCACTATAGATAGTCTATGGTGGGCTCTGCAGGGTCACTCTCCGCTGGGGCTCTGCAAGTGGCATAACTAGCAATCACGGGGCCCCATACAGAATTTTGCTATGGGGCCCTGTGATTTCTAGTTACGCCCCTGCTGCCTCACCCCGCATGAGCAAAGCACAGGTTCAGGTTAAAGAGCCCGTGACCTGCTACCCTGTGACAGTGCTCGGACCTAGTAGCCAATCGCTGTCACACAATAAGGAGATTGACGTCACCTTTCCTCTGCGTCACCGACACCGGCTGCGATGGAAGACAGAGCAATGAGACAGTAGGGGACAAGGTGAGTATAAGGGTATCCAGTGGTCATGGGGTCCTTTGCAGAATCACTGTCACTTTGCCCTGTGACATCGTCTCATTTAATCCACAATTTAATTCTGCGTGTGTATCATGTACAGACACCAGTAGATCTGACCATGCCTCTATTAAACCTTCATTTGTATATTCTTGTCTCTTGCAGCTTCCCATAGCTTCCAGCGACGCAACTGATGTTGTGGACAGTGCGCTGCCAAAGAGAATCATTAACCCAAAGCTGCCTAAATCCACTCCCAACATTGAGCTGAAATCCTTAACCGTGTCACCCAGCAAAACCTTAAAATATTCCATAAACCTCAAACTTCCTTCAGGAGCCAAGTTAACCGAAGGTGCCCCGAGTTTCTGGTTTCTCTTCACAGAAGGTGAGTTCCTGCCTAGTTTAAACCTGGCAGTGTGAAAAAGGTAAAGCCGATCTCCCCTTGTAATCGGGTTATCTCCCACCCTGCAAGGGTTAAAGGAGAACTATGAGGTCAGGGCTTTCCCCCATAGTTCTCCTTAGGGTAACGGGAGGACACAAACTAGCGTCCTCCCGTCACCCTAGGCTCAGTATATAGGGAGCTACAGCTCGCGGTATACTGAGACGCCGCAGCCGGAGCGGATCCCGACGTAGATGACGGGATCCGCCCAGCTGTGTGAGTGACAGCTGGCTCTGCCTATCTAGAGGCTGTACCCGCCCCCTCCAGTCAGCGCTGGCGGATCGGAGCGGTGAGAGGGGAATCCAGCCCCTCCCCTGTCACAGCAGAGAGCCGTGACCGGATCGAGAGGTGAGCGAACGCCGGTATGTGTTCTCTCACCTCCCGATCTACTGAGCCGACCTG